TACAAAGCCTACTATCAGTCACTTCTGTATAATATTATCTTTTCTCGTTTGAAAACAAATGAGTCTTCGTTGCTGCTAAATTGGCAAGCGTTTTTTAATTATTAAGGGTCAATAGGAATGAGAAGGTTTGTTTTGCATTAGGCTTTCTGCCTCACGCTCTCTGTATTACTGTTTCTTTCTGATGAGCGTTGTTTAGATCTGGTTATCTTTTGTAATCTTATGTAAGCTCTTATTTAATATTTGTAATCGACAACTAGTTATTTGATTTGTTTTGTTTTGTTTATGTATGTGAGACATGAGTACATTCAACGCCATTTTTCCTACTATTATGATGATCCACTATAAGTTATGATGATACTATGTGTATATGATGTTTTAATCAAAATGAAAAGGATCAATAAAACATCAAATACAAAAAATAAAATATAAATCATTTTACTTACCCCCATGGCATTATTTTACTTACCCCCATGGCATTATTTTAATTACCCCCATGGCATTATTTTATCTACCCCCATGGCATTATTTTAATTACCCCCATGGCATTATTTTACTTACCCCCATGGCATTATTTTACTTACCCCATGGCATTATTTTATCTACCCCCATGGCATTATTTTAATTACCCCCATGGCATTATTTTACTTACCCCCATGGCATTATTTTACTTACCCCCATGGCATTATTTTATCTACCCCCATGGCAATACCCCCATGGCATTATTTTACTTTATATCCCCATGGCATTATTTTACTTACCCCCATGGCATTATTTTATCTACCCCCATGGCAATACCCCCATGGCATTATTTTACTTTATACCCCCATGGCATTATTTTACTTACCCCCATGGCATTATTTTATCTACCCCCATGGCAATACCCCCATGGCATTATTTTACTTACATCCATATTATTATTTTACTTACCCCCATGGCATTATTTTACTTACCCCCATGGCATTATTTTACTTACCCCCATGGCATTATTTTACTTACCCCCATGGCATTATTTTAATTACCCCCATGGCATTATTTTACTTACCCCCATGGCATTATTTTACTTACCCCCATGGCATTATTTTATCTACCCCCATGGCAATACCCCCATGGCATTATTTTACTTTATATCCCCATGGCATTATTTTACTTACCCCCATGGCATTATTTTATCTACCCCCATGGCAATACCCCCATGGCATTATTTTACTTTATACCCCCATGGCATTATTTTACTTACCCCCATGGCATTATTTTATCTACCCCCATGGCAATACCCCCATGGCATTATTTTACTTACATCCATATTATTATTTTACTTACCCCCATGGTTTTATTTTACTTACCCCCATGGCATTATTTTACTTACCCCCATGGCATTATTTTACTTACCCCCATGGCATTATTTTACTTACCCCCATGGCATTAGTTTACTTACTCCAATGTCATTATTTTACTTATTATTATGGGGGGGGGGGCAAAGAGAGATAAGCATTTCGTCACGATAAGGAAAATCGTATTCTTATAAATCAAGTACCATTATGAAAATACACTAGGCACAAGCTTTGGAATTCCCTTCCTGTTGAACTTAAATTTAGCCCATCACTTAACTCTTTTAAAAGAAAACATAGAAAATATATAATTAGCTCCTACTGTCATGACTATTGATCAACTTATTCTATTGTATAATGTTTGTTGCACTTATGGGCCCGAATTCACAAAGGAGGTCTGTCGACAAACCTCCTTTGTGAATTCGGGCCCATGGTGTTCGTTTATATTCTGTTTGATTTTACTTGTTTGGTTTGTTAAGTTATGTTCTGCGCTTGTAGTACTTTATTGTCCAATTTTTATATTTGTTAGGGTTCTGCCTCGAAATGGTCTTTGCGGGTTTATTCTCATCCTTCATTTCTCCTTCAATAAAATACTCAGTTAATGAATCCCCGATTACATCAATATCAATATTCAGCCGGCTTTTATTCGAGTTGTATCTTCTTGAACAATCTTGTTACAAAATGCAATATAATAAATGTTTTGAACATCAAATGATTTCATATAATGTAAATATTTTTAACATTGAATAATTTCAATATCAGTGGTGAACGTTTACACCTATAATAATAATAATAATAATAATAATAATAATAATAATAATAATAGCTAGTTCTTATATAGCACTTTTCAGGACCGAATGCCCTCTCAAAGCGCGATACAGATATCCTGACGGTATACGTGCGTCCCAGAAAAGACGAAACCGAGAATTATCGATGACTTATCATAACTTAATCACAATTATATATTTAATAAATGACACATATTTGTAAAGCTTAGACCCTCTTCATTCATTTGATGCAACCCATATGATGCATATTTCACGTAACTATGAGTGATTAAAAACAATTTGAAGAGAGAAAACCAAAAAGTCATTTGGCGGGCGGTATTTGAATTTCAAAGAGAAAATCACATTTCTATAAACACCTCTATCAGGAAAAATGAGCCAGTAATAACAAAGTTCTGTTTGTTTAAAGTTATGCTTACGTTTCCATAATTTGATTAAACGAGTTCGTTTTCACTGGCTGCCTGCCGTAGCAACAAACAGAGTTGACGAAAGACTTTTAAATTCCGTTTCGTTGACGATCAGCCATGCAAAAAGAAGACTAAAGACTTGATGCATGGCTGATCGTCAACGAAACATGCGGTCCACACCCACTCACCCCTTTTCTTTTACATAATCTTGTCCATGTAGTTCATAATTCCACCCTTGTGCTCCCACACTGCGTTTTATAATTATGTTGATACCTGATCTCTTCAGTAGTCTCCGTATACACACATGTTCACTTGTATAATTACTCTTGTGTACTTTGTAAAATGTCGTTTGTAATTTACTTATTGTACATAATTTTATATTTTTGTTGAAAATGGAAATAAAACTTACAACTTGAAACATGTTGATTATTTTGCTTGTTTTCTTAGCTGGTCCTAAGCTAGGAGAAGGCTTAATTAGAAGGGACAAAAATAAAAACAACAATATTGTGGGTAATGTTTTACCACACGCTCTATTGTTGCTATATACATGTAAATATGCTCATCTGACCACAATTAAATGCCTCAGACCCCAGAGTTTCCGGGGGCTCCGCCCATGGAGCCCCGCTGGGGCAAATTAAGCCCCTTGACCCGACGCCAATTTACGCTCCACTCGCTTCCCTCGCTGTACGCTCTACCTGATCGTTAATGCACCACTTTGAAAAAACGTTCCGCGCGGCCTGCATGTAACATGTGAGAGTGGTGGAATGCCGATTTTTCTTCTCCCCCCCCCCCCCCCCCCAAAAAAAAAAAAAAAAAAAACGTTTTTGCTGTGAGAATTCTTTTTTTTTTAAACCAGAACTCAAGTTTATCTTTAAACAAAAGTATGTTGTTCTCATTTTCACTTTCTCTTTCACCTTGTGCCGCCCGGGAAGTGCCCTCTTCCACCCCACCCCCCCCCCCCCGTAGATACGCAACTGCAGACCGTGTAATGATGCTAGCCAAGTCACCAATATATCTCCAATAATTATATCGAATTTAATGACCATTGCTTAAATAATTAAGGCTATAATCATGGACCTATTACGAATGGACATTCAACGTGATTCTTTCTTTGATCCAATGATAGTCACCGCCTTCTGATTATGTGCATCTTAATGAGAACATTCAGCTGTTTTAACAATAACGACTGCGTATGCATTTTCGGGCATTGACAAAGGAGCAGTTTCCCTCTCTTGGGTTTTGTTTGGATGGTGTGCTCTGTAAGAATATGTCTTCAATAAAAAAAAATCCCCAATGGGGAGCAGCAAAGTTGAAAAGCAGACGATTTTGGTGATATGAAATTTATTATTATTGATTTGCACACTTTGCACGCACCAATGACCTTATAAAACAATTCGATGGCCATGATCTTTATAAGCCCTGCACGTTGTAATTCTGGAATATTATGAGGAAATTGGGAAAACGGGGTTTTAAATCACAAACAATTCAAACAAAACCTATCTGGTGATATCAACATGTTTTTCAAAAATAGAACACAGTACACGGAACAACAATTTCCAATTATTAACCAGAACTGCACATCGATTTCCAATGATTAAAGCGATTAATTATCTTCTGCGCATGTAGATTAACATGTTTAACATCACTATCTTGATTCTGTCCCGGCTTTTTGGCGGTGGACCTCATGAGATCAAAGTGAAGAAACATGAACGGAATGTTATTGAGATGACATTGACGGAGACAATCACAATGAATTTGTTAAGAAAACGATGAATGTCCATTCGAATACGTCCATGCTATAATCAAACAAGGACAGTTGACAGAACTAAACGAAGATGGTAATGTAGAAATAACGGTTTGAGAAAACCTGATATAACATAAAATGTTGATGAAATAATATATTACAAGATACCTTATAATCATCATAACAACAAGTTTTGGTAATCCATCTATAATACAGTATGGTAACGGAAATAAAATATGACAGAAAACCCGCAACCATAAACAAATTGGGTATTAAGCAAACATGTCAATAACACATTAGATTGATGCAAAGAAACTTTTCATCTCATTCAATTCAATCAAAAATGGTTTATTAGACAACAAGTTTTGCAGCAATAAGCTGGATTAGAAATAACATGAAAGTTCAAATTGCGTAAAGAAATATATTATACAAATCGGTTTAAGAAAAACCTGTCTAATTACTATACAACTCTTGATAGATACATACCGTGCTTATTTTTAATAATACAATATAACAAAATATGTAAAAAGTAAGTACGAACTATAACACTTAATTAATAAGACCGACTACTCCATGAAATAAAAGCGTCAAACTGTTACCTGAAATTCAAAGAAAGTTCATAAATTAATTATGTTTGACATCGTTTATCGTGGTTACATAACATGGAATATCAGGCACCCTCCCCCCCCCCCCCCCCATTTTTCTCTTTCTCTCTCTCTCTATGATTTAATAATTAATAAAACAAACATCATAAGCAGATTTAATGACGTATTTACAAAATCCCCTTTTTGTAATCTAACTTGACATAATCATCATTCATGGCTTCGTCCAGCATTGACTGTGAAATCTGAGGGAAATATTTGGCAAACGCCTCTTTGATCTCTTTACGAGACCTGAAATAGGACTTCGAAATGCATCCAGGCTCATTCTCTATTAATAGAGTAGTGTTACTGATACAAACAAAGCGACCGTCAGGAAACGCCATGCATCTGAGGCTGGTTAGAAAGAAATGTCTAGGCATATCATCAATGCTGACATATCTCGGTGTCATGCTGGGTTTAAAGTGGGCTACCTCGACACCTCTCTTGAAATTAATGCGGATAAATCGGTACCAACCATCGGTGACAGGAAAGGCTTCCATGGTCTGCTTGGCCGGGTGACCGTCGACTTGATGCAAACAAAATATGACGTCATCTTGGCGGGAAAACTTGAAACGCAGGAAGGACTCGTGGTACACAGGTGACTCGTCCTTGAAGTCGAAGGGAACTGCGCAAAAATACGGATTCCCGTTCCCGACGTCGGCGTAATGCCTGCTGCCCTCACTTGTCAAATTGTGGACGATTACGGCGGCATGGTCGCTGGGTTCTTCGATGTCGCAAGCGATAAGCGTGACATCAAAACCCAAAGCTTGGAGGAGGAGATAGAAGAAGACATTCTGTTGGTAACAAAGTCCGCCTATCTTATCGGTAAGAATATCCTGCTTGATCTCGGCTACGGTAGGAACATGTCTCTTGCGGTGGGGCGTGGCAATATTTTTGAGGTTCTGGAACGGGATGTGATGGAAATACGCTCGAAGGAGGTCTTGAAGAAAGTCCTTTGGACTCGCCTCGAACTTGGTGGACGGCGCAGGGATGCACAGGGCATCACGCACGAAGTCAAAGGCTTCTTCCGGTGTAATCATCGTGTCATCTGTGGATCCCGACATTCTCTGAGGTATCAAAAAAGAAAAGAACGGAGAACTATTTCGTTACATTTTATCAATATGCCTATTTCATCTTTAGACCTCATCGTTCGTAATCAAACATATTCCTCAACTTAAGCAGGGCTCCCACTTAGCCGAGTTGTATTGGCGAGTAATGGCGAGTTGTGATGAGTTGCCTCAAAGAGGCACTCGCAGTACTCGCGAATAGCTCTTCTTGTAACTCGGGATAACGCGCGACACCTTGGTATGGCTCGGCGTCACTTTTTACAACATTCCACGGCTCTCCTCGAAGTCGCGAGCAGTTCCTTTCCCTGACTCGCTCTCACTCGAGGTGAACTTGCTTACACTCGTAGTATACTCGCATTACTCGTAACAAGCTTGCACTGCACTCTTCATAACTCGTAGCAACTCGCCACCTTCAAGTATATGTGAGTGCTATTCGAGTTTCCAAGAGTGGAGTACGAGCACGGTGATCGTGCTGCGAGTTACCTACGATATTAACGCGAGATTAGATCGAGTACGCGGACTTCAGGCGAGTTTCGTATGAGCATGAGCAGAGTGCAGAGCGAACATGACGAGCTTCACGAGCGCACCATGATACGTCAGCTGGCCTACAATTATGCAGAGGATCAAGGGCAGTTATTCCCTTGACATATCGAGCAAATATGCTTCTGGCATCCATCTTTATTTTAGAGAGCACCAAAATCAGAGGCAACCCTCTCCGGGGGGGCTGAGGAGCAGGAGTAGGCACAGTGCCCCCACTTTTTCAAGTACTCGAAATGTGCCCCTTTTTTCATACGAAAAGTGGCCCTTTATCTTTGACAAGTGCCCCTATTAATTTGTGGAAGTGCCCCTACCCCTTTTCACCTCTTACCAGTGTCCCTTTTATTTCGATAAGTGCCCTTTTTCCTTCGACAAGTTCCCATTTTCCTTTGCGATAAGTGCCCCTTTTCACTTTTGATAAGTGCCCCCTTCACCTCTGATAATTTACCTTATTAAAATCTGAGATATGACTCTTTTATTTTGACAAGTGCCCCTTTTCCTTTGTAAGCAGTGCCCCTTCCCCCATTAATAACTACCCCCTTTTTAACTCGGATACGTGCACCCTATATTTTCACATGTTCACTTTTTCATTTCTAATAAGGTACCTATCCCCTTTTTATAAAAGCCCCTTTTCACCTCTTATATAGTAAATGCCCTTATCAAAATCAGATGGGGGCCCCTTTTCCGTCGACAAATGCCCATTTCCTATTTTTATGAGTGCCTTTTTTCATCCCTGGTGAGTTTCTCTTTCAGAAGGTGTAAGGAGTGCCTCATTTTCACTTCTGATAATTACTCTTTGTACTTTGACACGAGCTCCTTTTCTTTTCTGATAAGTGTCCCCTTTTCCTCTTATCATTAAACGCGCCCTTAATTTCAAGCGACTAACAGCACCTCCTCCTAAAGTTCACTCACTCCGCTCGCTCGCGTTTATAGATGATATACTAATGTTACTTATCAAAGGTCTTTTCAGTCTAGCTTCCGTCATAAAAAAAAATATGCATATAACCCCATCAGGATAGGGTATTTTGCATTTTATAAGATGTAATTTTTCGCACTGCGACCTCACAAATCTACAAATTTCCCCGCTCCATTCGCTCGGTCGCAAATAATTTTGAGGACCATCACACTCAAATGCATAGTATGATGCCTATATTTTGTACTGTGTACAAAGTGAAACAAATATTGAAATTATCCCTGATAATGTAATCACAATGTAAGGGTATATACCAATGTCTCAAAACATTGTTTTTTTCGCTTTGAGTTTTCAAGCGAGTTCTCGCGAATTTACGCGAGTTCAACCTCGCGCCAGCTCCCCACAACTCGGGGCTCCAACTCGGCCAAGTAGGAGCCCTGCTTTAGATTGGGCCCATGGACCTAACTTACGGGAGCTATATTGATCAGAAAGATCAATGCCTACGTTAGATGGAATCCAAGAGAAAAAGAAAAAGGATTTTCATATATTTATGTAGCGTTTACGTTCAGGCGAGTGGTGGCGCACTTTTACTTTAAGTATCTGTAACATTGTACAAATTGTATTGTGAAGTTCGTTGAACATTCTCGTCACTAAATTGTAATTTAGCAAAATACGTCAACCAACCAATGTTGCATGATTAAACACACAGAATAATATCGAAGGAAATCCGTTCGCGTGCTTAAAGATTTGGACCGGTGGTGGTAAAATTGCCAAATATCCATTTAATATTATTTAAATATTGAATGCAGGGGTTTAGATGGCAACACTTCAACCTAAATTCGCAAAAAACAGAAATATATGCCCAAAACTAAAAACGTACCTCTTCAATAAGTAAATTGTAATTCTAATATTTTTGTTTGTTATTATAATTACTCTTTTATACATGTATTATCTTGTGTTTACTATGTCATTATTTCTGTAAAGCGCTTCGAGCAATTCGTTGGATGTTGCGCTATATAAAAGACAATTGTATGTATGTATGTATGTATGTAAATGTTCAATGTTGAAGTGCACTCGCGATATTCTATCCAGGCCGGATCAATTTGATAATTTACCAAATACATTATTAATAGGCGGTTTCCCGGTAAAATTTGTATTATCACGTATTATTCAAAACATATTTTTTCACATGATTGATAATAAGAGCTTTCATTTAATTTTTTGAGAGGGGGGCGTTTCCAAAACTGCCCGCCCTCCCAATTAAGACATAACAGTCGTCTGGTCTATATAACATTGAGTGAAATAGATCTAAATGGGGTAAATCAGTTCAAAGCTGCTTTAATACTGAGCATAAAAAGAAAACACTGAACACAGATTCTGAGGGACGTTCATTGCAATTCTAGAATCAAAATTTAACACAAAAGTCATAAAGAATATTATTAAACCAATACGTTTTCCGAACCTAAATGCGGTTTATGGGTTCCACTCTAAATCTTCTATTCACTAAGTTTTATTCGAGGAAGGACTGAGTCGGGGGAGAGGGGGGGGGGGGGTCACTCCCAACATGACAGGCTACGCATCCACGTCCAGAAAAAGCGGGTGTCTTTTTCAGCTACATGTATATGGCGTCGTCGACGTTTTTCTTAAAAAGGATTTTTTTTTGAAGCACTGATCGCACCCCCTCCCCCCCCCCCCAAAAAGGATACCTTTCAGGTTCACATGTTTCGACGTCTTCGGTTAATGTGCGATACAGACGCCATTACGGTCCATTTTCAGAGGTTGATGGACATGGGTGAGTAGCACTCGGTGTATGAGAGTGACCCCCCCCCCCCCCCCCGGATACCGAGATTTGAATATTATTACTTAGTTCTCATATCTGACTTTCATAACCTACAATTAGAGCAAATTGGCAAATTTAGATTTTGTCTGAAATGTGTAGTATAAGTTGAGGGGTCTACTCCAACATTTTAAGTGGGAAATGAGAAGGAATGCATGGTTTATTGATGACCTCTATGATATATCTAAAGAGATTGAAGAGCACCATCTACAAAACCTCGATCAGCAAACAACAACTATAAAACTACTTTAGGTCTATATAATGTAAGAGTTCAAAGGAAGGTGATATGACGCAAAAGAAAATCATTGTACCATCAACATGTTTTGTAATCAAGTTGTTCCCATAATGTTAATAAAGAGATTTTTTAAGTACCATTCAACGACACTTCAAAGGTCCATTTTAAAGTGAAAACTAATTTGATTAGTATATTCTGTCTTGTTTGTAGATCCTTTCTAGAGGGCAATTCCATTAGTTTAGTGTCATAATCTCAAAGAACGATTTCCATTGCTTGAAACCCACGACCATGACCGGTATATAAACGATGGTCCGCCGCCACCCTTTGGACTTTGGACTTTGATTATTTCACCCTAAAAAGGCCGGGCTATTTGAGGTCTTAGTACGGCCGGGGGGGGGGGGGCATTATGCCCCCCCCCCCTTAAGATCTCGGCCGCAAAGAGGCCGATCGCCGCGAAAATTTGCACGCATGTCAAGTGAAGTGTATAGAATAATATGATAATTTCAATTTTTTGAAAAATTCACTCATTTGCATATTTATGGTAATTTATGCAAATAAAGTCATAAAAATCACATTTTTACCCATACATCATATATTATTCATATTTAGGCATTCTTTTTCACTACATATATTCACTAGACCATTCTGAATAATAATACGACAAAAAATTCGGAAGAGCCAGCTTATTCCTTATGTTATCCCTTGTTTTGATAATTTCTTATGTATTTCACTGTTTTTTTTAACTTGTTGTTTTATTTCATTTCTTACTACAATTAAACTATTTTGACTCCCTAAACAACCACCTAAACTTGAAACAAGACCCAATAACCCATGTTTGATCTGTTTTGAGGAAAAAAGACTTTTCCATATGTTTTGTACACAAATCACGAAAATGAGCGATTTTCGGGCTGACATGCAAAGACAAAAGGTCACGTGACCTTGTAACCGTAGGTCCGATTTTCAAAAAAATTCTTTTAAAAGTTGCGCAAGACTCGAAAGAAAAAGGTCAGCGAGCGGCGGGGCGCCATCCACATGCGTTCCCGAGCAATCGGAAAATTCGTGGAGGGGGGGGGCATAATGCCCCCCCCCCCGGCCTTATTAGGGTTAAACATAAATTTCAGCTCATTACATAGGCTTCACATTGTGCCAATATGTTACTATATAAATTTTTACCTGACTTTCGGTTTAAGCTCGACGGCTTCGCCATGGTTGCATGGTAAAGTCGATTTTCACAAAAGGAGTTAGATCGAGGTACATGTATGTTAAATAGTGCATCGAGTGTCGGATTCCCCCCTACTTCCCCTTCTTCTTCGTCGTCGTCTTCTTCTTCTTCTTCTTCTCCATCTTCTCCTTCTTCTCCTTCTTCCTCCTCCTCCTCCTTCTTCTTCTTCTTCTTTCTCTTCTTCTTCTTCTTCTTCTTCTTCTTCTTCTTCTTCTTCTTCTATTCTCATCAAAGACTATATTGCAGTATGTTTTGCGTGTATAATCAAACCTTTCTGAGTGGCCATCTCTCTAGAAAGACCACCTGTGTATAGTGGCCATGCACTTTTCCCTCCCCTCCCTCGAGAGAGAAACGTGTGATGTGAAATGTACCTGTTTAGAAAGGCCACCTGTCTCAGTGGCTTTTTTCTGTTTCCCTTCGGTGGCCTTAATAGATGCAGGTTTTACTGTAATTGTTTTTTAAGAGACGTGTATCAATCAGATATAAGTCTGTCCTATAACTTCACATATTATTTCGTCTGTCATCCCTCTTGACTCCCAATACAAACAAATAACACAATAATACACTTCAATTATTGTGGGATAGCCTGACGACTACTGAGAGCCGGCCGTTTATTCAGTATGAATGTTTAACAAACATTTCTTCTCGTTTCCTTCACTGGAAACCGGACCGACTATGGTCCAGGATTGAAAAAAAAAACAGAGGTAAAACTCAACGAGCATAAAAACTCTGAAAAACCTTATTAAAACACAGTCATGTCGTAACATAACATGACACAATGCACTTTTATTGTAAATAACAGTTGTCTCGTTGAAAGTTCTAGCGAGAATGATTCAATATATAACACACTAATTGATGCCACGCCCTGGTCTCCGTGGCAGAATTAGCTCGGACACCTGTACGAGCTAGTATACCTATGCAAATTACATTCCATCGGGGCACGGCTCCGGACCCAACATAAGTATACAAACAACATTTGCCCGCTATACAATCGTACCGCAGACAAATAATATTACTTACCTCTATCATCCGATACTGAAAGACACAGGTTCTGGACCAGAGTTAGATTGAGTAGACGAAGACAGAGATCTGAGTTTAGCCTGTCCCTATATAACACCAGCGCCCAGCGGTATACAGCTACATGTAAACCTATTCACATCGAAATCAGCGTTGTTCATGCATGCAGATATCCCGGGGTCACTCCAAACATGACGTTTTCCCAAGCTCTGATCGCACACACATAACACAAAGAGGGTGCCTTTTCGGGTTCACAGGTTTCGACGTGTCTGATACGCCATTATCATTTTAGAAAAGGTGCGATACGCCAACAGGGTCCATTTCAGAGGTTGATGGGCACGGCTGGGTAGCACTTGTGTATGAGAGTGACCCCCCGCCCAGGAAACTTTAAGCGGGTGTTTAATATCAACATTACATAATTATATGATTTGATTATGATATGGTATGGTATGATATGATATGCCATGATATGATATGAAATGATATGATATTATACGATATGATGACATGATAATTATGATATGACAGCATGATATGATATGAAATGTATTAAAATGATATGATGTGATACGATATACTACGATATGATATATATGATATGATATGATGTGATACGATATGCTACGATATGATATGATATGATGTATGATTATGATGTGATATGATATAGCCTGGAAAGTAAACTTTCATTACTAAATTCCTTTACACTTGTCAATCATTTGCTTTAATATTAATAATAAATAAGTCCTCATATTCCTGTTGCAACAAATTATGTTCTAGCCTGGTAGAAATACCATATTATTCCGGTATACGGATCGTGTTCTAGCCTGGTAGAAATTCCATATTATTACGATATACGGATCGAGTATTATGAATATTATAACAATGCCATTGTGAATAACACATATGCTGAATCATGTATGTATGAAAACAGTCTTCTCATTCAAGTCTTTTACAATACCTGCAAAAAGAACGGATTGAGTATCATGAATATTATAACATAACATCGCATCGTGAATAACAAATATGCTGAATCGTTCATGTATGAAAATAGTCTTCTTACTCCAGTCTTTCACAACAACTTGCAAAAAGACTGAAATGAGTCTGAAATACACAGCGGAGCACAACGATGACTTGTGTAAGACTAACTTTCGATGATCGTTTGGCTGTCCTGTGAAACTTCTATTTATGCCACATGACTGTATAAAGCAACTGGCTGCGTTTTAAATGTTATATCAGGCTAAAGTAATTCGCAGAATTAAAATTATAAATGAAGTGATAACATATCTCTTTATTGCTCTCTCTCTCTCTCTCTCTCTCTCTGACTCTGTCTGTCTCTCTCTCTCTCTCTCTCTCTCTGTCTCTCTCTGTGTGACTCTGTCTCTCTCTGTCTCTCTCTGTCTCTCTCTGTCTCTCTCTCTCTCTATCTCCATTTGAATTACACAGGTCGATTATAGACATAACGAACTCATTTGAGATAGTTTTTCAGTTATTTGGAGGTATAGGTGTGCTGATCTTCATCCTGACTCTAATCTTCATCTACCGTCAGAGAACAAACTCGATCTACTAGCCGGGTCTACTAGAAGATTAGACCTTCCTTCTATCCTGACTCTAATCTTCATCTACCGTGAAAGAACAAACTCGATCTACTAGCCGGGTCTACTAGAAGATTAGACCTTCCTTCTATCCTGACTCTAATCTTCATCTACCGTCAAAGAACAAACTCGATCTACTAGCCGGGTCTACTAGAAGATTAGACCTTCCTTCTATCCTGACTCTAATCTTCATCTACCGTGAAAGAACAAACTCGATCTACTAGCCGGGTCTACTAGAAGATTAGACCTTCCTTCTATCCTGACTCTAATCTTCATCTACCGTGAAAGAACAAACTCGATCTACTAGCCGGGTCTACTAGAAGATTAGACCTTCCTTCTATCCTGACTCTAATCTTCATCTACCGTGAAAGAACAAACTCGATCTACTAGCCGGGTCTACTAGAAGACTAGACCTTCCTTCCATCCTGACTCTAATCTTCATCTACCGTCAAAGAACAAACTCGATCTACTAGCCGGGTCTACTAGAAGATTAGACCTTCCTTCTATCCTGACTCTAATCTTCATCTACCGTCAAAGAACAAACTCGATCTACTAGCCGGGTCTACTAGAAGATTAGACCTTCCTTCTATCCTGACTCTAATCTTCATCTACCGTGAAAGAACAAACTCGATCTACTAGCCGGTCTACTAGAAGATTAGACCTTCCTTCTATCCTGACTCTAATCTTCATCTACCGTGAAAGAACAAACTCGATCTACTAGCCGGGTCTACTAGAAGATTAGACCTTCCTTCCATCCTGACTCTAATCTTCATCTACCGTGAAAGAACAAACTCGATCTACTAGCCGGGTCTACTAGAAGACTAGACCTTCCTTCTATCCTGACTCTAATCTTCATCTACCGTGAAAGAACAAACTCGATCTACTAGCCGGGTCTACTAGAAGATTAGACCTTCCTTCTATCCTGACTCTAATCTTCATCTACCGTGAAAGAACAAACTCGATCTACTAGCCGGGTCTACTAGAAGATTAGACCTTCCTTCCATCCTGACTCTAATCTTCATCTACCGTGAAAGAACAAACTCGATCTACTAGCCGGGTCTACTAGAAGATTAGACCTTCCTTCCATCCTGACTCTAATCTTCATCTACCGTGAAAGAACAAACTCGATCTACTAGCCGGGTCTACTAGAAGACTAGATATTCCTTCGACTTGGCTATACGCCCTGATGGCCTTACAGCTCGGTTTTCGAGGCGTAGTTATTAGGGACTTTCAGATTTGCAAGTCGACATAGTGGACTGCTACGTGTGAAATCCTTTTAAGACACTGGCAGTGCCTAAAAAGGATGTCACATATTGCCTTAAAAATGATGTCTCACGTAGCAGTCCATTATGTCGATGTGCAAATCTAAAAGTCCCTATTCTTAGTTTCCTTTATTCTAGCGGTTTAGGTGTCGTTGGGTGCCATACAAAGTCTACTATCAGTCACTTCTGTAATATTGTCTTTTCTCGTTTGAACCTGTTAAACATTTCATTGCAAAAGAAGAAAACAAATGAGTCGCCGTTGCTGCTAAATTGGCAATCGTTTTTAATATTATTAAGGGGCAGTAGGAATGAGAAGGTTCGTTTTACATTAGGCTTTCTGCCTCACGCTCTCTGTATTACTGTTTCTTTCTGATGAGCGTTGTTTAGATCTGGTTATCTTTTGTAATCTTATGTAAGCTCTTATTTAATATTAGTAATCGATAACTAGTTATTTGATTTGTTTTGTTTTGTTTATGTATGTGAGACATGAGTACATTAAACGCCATTTTTCCTACTATTATGATGATCCACTATAAGTTATGATGATACTATGTGTATATGATGTTTTAATCAAAATGAAAAGGATCAATAAAACATCAAATACAAAAGATAAAAATATAATACTATTTTACTTACCCCCATGGCATTATTTTACTTACCCCCATGGCATTAGTTTACTTACCCCCATGGCATTATTTTACTTACCCCCATGGCATTATTTTACTTACCCCCATGGCATTAGTTTACTTACTCCAATGTCATTATTTTACTTATTATTATGGGGGGGGGGCAAAGAGTGATAAGCATTTCGTCACGATAAGGAAAATCGTATTCTTATAAATCAAGTACCATTATGAAAATACACTAGGCACAAGCTTTGGAATTCCCTTCCTGTTGAACTTAAATTTAGCCCATCACTTAACTCTTTTAAAAGAAAACATAGAAAATATATAATTAGCTCCTACTGTCATGACTATTGATTAACTTATTCTATTGTATAATGTTTGTTGCACTTATGGGCCCGAATTCACAAAGGAGGTCTGTCGACAAACCTCCTTTGTGAATTCGGGCCCATGGTGTTCGTTTATATTCTGTTTGATTTCAATTGTTTGGTTTGTTAAGTTATGTTCTGCGCTTGTAGTACTTTATCGTCCAATTTATAATTTGTTAGGGTTCTGCCTCGAAATGATCTTTGCGGGTTTATTCTCATCCTTCATTTCTCCTTCAATACATTACTCAGTTAATGAATCCCCGATTACATCAATATCAATATTCAGCCGGCTTTTATTCGAGTTGTATCTTCTTGAACAATCTTGTTACATAATGCCATATAATAAATGTTTTGAACATCAAATAATTTAAGTTTTTAAATGCGAAAGATTTAGCTCATTGTTTATTTTTTTAAATATAAAATAATTTCATATAATGTAAATATTTTTAACATTGAATAATTTCAATATCAGTGGTGAACGTTTACACCTATAATAATAATAATAATAATAATAATAGCTAGTTCTTATATAGCACTTTTCAGGACCGAATGCCCTCTCAAAGCGCGTTACAGATATCCTGACGGTATATGTGCGTCCCAGAAAAGACGAAACCGAGAATTATCGATGATTTATCATAACTTAATCACAATTATATTTAATAAATGACACATATTTGTAAAGCTTAGACCCTCTTCATTCATTTGATGCAACCCATATGATGCATATTTCACGTATGAGTGATTAAAAACAATTTGAAGAGAGGAAATTAAAAAGTCATTTGGCGGGCGTTATTTGAATTTCAAAGAGAATATCACATTTCTATAAACACCTCTATCAGGAAAAATGAGCCAGTAATAACAAAGTTCTGTTTGTTTAAAGTTATGCTTGCGTTTCCATAATTTGATTAAACGAGTTCGTTTTCACTGACTGCCTGCCGTAGCAACAAACAGAGTTGACGAAAGACTTTTAAACTCCGTTTCGTTGACGATCAGCCATGCAAAAAGAAGACTAAAGACTTGATGCATGGCTGATCGTCAACGAAACATGCGGTCCACACCCACTCACCCCTTTTCTTTTACATAATCTTGTCCATGTAGTTCATAATTCTACCCTTGTGCTCCCACACTGCGTTTTATAATTATGTTGATACCTGATCTCTTCAGTAGTCTCCGTAGACACAACACTTCATATGTAATTTGGAAAATTTATCGAGTTCAAAGAATATTTCAAAAGGGTAGAATTAAGGTCATCAGGCAAATAAAAGATTGATCTATTCCAAACGTCTCATTATCTCCAATCATAGGTGACAAAATATGGGAAACTGTACTCAAATCAACATTACTGATTGCACGTTCATATGATGCCCGAAGGGTCATCATTCACACGTATACACATAAATATACAAGAATAAATATTCACAAAACCAAAGTTATTACTACTATTACATAAAAAAGAAAAAGAAACAAAAAGTTCTTAGAGTACAGAGAAATACTGCAGATTTGTAATGCACCACAGTAATTGCATGATTGATAACAATTGGGAAATGGGTCTCTGTAGAGTCAGTGATAGCTTTAGTGCTAGAGAAAAGTCTTTAATAGTCACTTTAAGTCATTTTCGCTCGTAATTAATCGTTTAATTTGTTTGCCTCCACTCGTTGGGAAGAGGCCGAGTATTCTGCCATCGGAAGACGATGCGGTAAGTGTCTTCTCACAATTTTTCGCTTTTGATAATAAGTTAGCGTTTGTCTTGGTAAGGTCCTCGTCGATCCCCATTCTTGTGCCTTTCAGTTCGCGTCGCTTTAACATGGAATATCAGGCATCCTCCCCCCCCCCCCCCATTTTTCTCTTTCTCTCTCTCTCTATGATTTAATAATTAATAAAACAAAAATCATAAGCAGTTTTAATGACGTATTTACAAAATCCCCTTTTTGTAATCTAACTTGACATAATCATCATTCATGGCTTCGTCCAGCATTGACTGTGAAATCTGAGGGAAATATTTGGCAAACGCCTCTTTTATCTCTTCACGAGACCTGAAGTAGGACTTCGAAATGCATCCAGGCTCATTCTCTATTAATAGAGTAGTGTTATTGATACAAACAAAGCGACCGTCGGGAAACGCCATGCATCTGAGGCTGGTTAGAAAGAAATGTCTAGGCATATCATCAATGCTGACATAGATCGGTGCCATGCTGGGTTTAAAGTGGGCTACCTCGACACCTTTCTTGAAATTAATGCGGATAAATCGGTACCAACCATCGGTGACAGGAAAGGCTTCCATGGTCTGCTTGGCCGGGTGACCGTCGACTTGATGCAAACAAAATATGACGTCATCTTGGCGGGAAAACTTGAAACGCAGGAAGGACTCGTGGTACACAGGTGACTCGTCCTTGAAGTCGAAGGGAACTGCGCAAAAATACGGATTCCCGTTCCCGACGTCGGCGTAATGCCTGCTGCCCTCACTTGTCAAATTGTGGACGATTACGGCGGCATGGTCGCTGGGACTTTCGATGTCGCAAGCGATAAGCGTTACATCAAAACCCAAAGCTTGGAGGAGGAGATAGAAGAAGACATTCTGTTGGTAACAAAGTCCGCCTATCTTATCGGTAAGAATATCCTGCTTGATCTCGGCTACGGTAGGAACATGTCTCTTGCGGTGGGGCGTGGCAATATTTTTGACGTTCTGGTACGGGAAGTGATGGAGATACGCTCGCAGGAGGTCTTGAAGAAAGTCCTTTGGACTCGCCTCGAACTTGGTGGACGGCGCAGGGATGCACAGGGCATCACGCACGAAGTCAAAGGCTTCTTCCGGTGTAATCATCGTGTCATCTGTGGATCCCGACATTCTCTGAGGTATCAAAAAAGAAAAGAACGGAGAACTATTTCGTTACATTTTATCAATATGCCTATTTCATCTTTAGACCTCATCGTTCGTAATCAAACATATTCCTCAACTTAGATTGGGCCCATGGACCTAACTTACAGGAGCTATATTGATCAGAAAGATCAATGCCTACGTTAGATGGAATCCAAGAGAAAAAGAAAAAGGATTTTCATATATTTATGTAGCTTTTACTGTGCGTTCAGGCGAGTGGTGGCGCACTTTTACTTTAAGTATCTGTAACATTGTGCAAATTGTATTGTGAAGTTCGTTGAACACTCTCGTCACTAAAGTGTAATTTAGCAAAATACGTCAACCGACCAATGTTGCATGTTTAACCACACAGAATAATATCGAAGGAAATCTGTTCGCGTGCTTAAAGATATGGACCGGTGGTGGTAAAATTGCGGTTCAAGGGTTTTGGGTGCCAAATATCCATTTAATATTATTTAAATATTGAATGCAGAGGTTTAGATGGCAATACTTCAACCTAAATTCGCAAAAAACAGAAATATATGCCCAAATGTTCAATGTTGAAGTGCATTCGCGATATTCTATCCAGGCCGGATCAATATGATAATTTACCAAATACATTATTAATAGGCGGTTTCCCGGTAAAATTTGTATTATCACGTATTATTCAAAACATATTTTTTCACATGATTGATAATAAGAGCTTTCATTTAATTTTTTGAGAGACCGGGGGCGTTTCCAAAACTGCCCGCCCGCCCAATTAAGACATAACAGTCGTCTGGCGTTTATAACACCGAGTGAAATAGATCTAAATGGGGTAAATCAGTTCAAAGCTGCTTTAATACTGAGCATAAAAAGAAAACACTGAACACAGATTCTGAGGGACGTTCATTGCAATTCTAGAATCAAAATTTAACACAAAAGTCATAAAGAAATATTATTAAACCAATACGTTTTCCGAACCTAAATGCGGTTTATAAGTTCCACTCAAAATCTACTATTCACTCAGTTTTATTCGAGGAAGGGCTGAGCCGGGGGAGGAGGGGGGGGGGGGGGTCACTCCCGACATGACAGGCTACGCATCCACGTCCAGAAAAAGCGGGTGTCTTTTTCAGCTACATGTATATGGCGTCGTCGACGTTTTTCTTAAAAAGGATTTTTTTCAAGCACTGATCGCACCCCCTCCCCCCCCCCCCAAAAAAGGGATACCTTTCAGGTTCACTTGTTTCGACGTCTTCGGTTAATGTGCGATACAGACGCCATTACGGTCCATTTTCAGAGGTTGATGGACATGGGTGGGTAGCACTTGGTGTATGAGAGTGACCCCCCCCCCCCCCCCCAGATACTGAGATTTGAATATTATTACTTAGTTCTCAAATCTGACTTTCATAACCTACAATTAGAGCAAATTGGCAAATTTAAATTTTGTCTGAAATGTGTACTATAAGTTGAGGGGGTCTACTCCAACATTTTAAGTGGGAAATGAGAAGGAATGCATGGTTTATTGATGACCTCTATGCACTATGAACACGACGGACAAAGAAAGCGGACAAAATATACAGTTCCTCAGGTAGATAAAGGAACATCCTTTCACTGCTATTATGTACAAATGTGTAGAACAGGTGAATAAACATGTGACACCTGTTCTACACATTTTTACATAATAGCAGTGAAGAGATGTTCCTTTGTATACCTGAGGAACTGTATATTTTGTCCGCTTTCTTTGTCAGTCATGTTCATAGTGATGATATATCTAAAGAGATTAAAGAGCGCCATCTACAAAACCTCGATCAGCAAACAACAACTATTAAAATACTTTGGCCCGAATTCACAAAGCAAGGTTTGAGCTCAGACCAAGGTTTATGTGCGTCATATGACGCGTTTCAGGTTTGAGTTCAGACCTTGGTCTGAAATGCATTTCACAAACCAGGTTTGAGCTCAGACCGAGTTTGTACAAACCTTGGTCTGATCAAACTGGGTTTGTCCTCAGACCTCCGTTGTGAATTCGGGCCCGTAGGTCTATATAATGTAAGAGTTCAAAGGAAGGTGATATGACGCAAAAGAAAATCATTGTACCATCAACATGTTTTGTAATCAAGTTGTTCCCATAATGTTAATCAAGAGATTTTTTTAAATACCATTCAACGACACTTCCAAGGTCCATTTTATAGTGAAAACTAATTTGATTAGTATATTCTGTCTTGTTTGTAGATCCTTTCTAGAGGGCAAGTCCATTAGTTTAGTGTCATAATCTCAAAGAACGATTTCCATTGCTCGAAACCCACGACCATGACCGGTATATAAACGATGGTCCGCCGCCACCCTTTGGACTTTGGACTTTGATTATTTAAAAATAAATTTCAGCTCATTACATAGGCTTCACATTGTGCCAATGTGTTACTATATAAATTTTAACATGACTTTCGGTTTAAGCTCGACGGCTTCGCCATGGTTGCATGGTAAAGTCGATTTTCACAAAAGGAGTTAGATAATAATGATAATAATAATAATAATAGCCTAATAGTCCACTCCAAATTTTATTATAAACCGAAACGGAAATTCTTTTTGCCCAATTGATCGTGAGCCCGGCAGCCACTGAGCAGCGCCAGATCGACGTTGCTCTATCCCTTATTGTTGAACGCCAAACAAGGTAGCAACAACTCCCATCTTTTAACGTCTTTTGGTATGACGCGGCCGGGGTTCGAACCCACGACCTTCCGGTTGTGAGGCGGACGCTCTACTGACTGAGCCAACACTCCGGTATCGAGGTACATGTATGTTAAATAGTGCATCGAGTGTCGGATTCCCCCCTACTTCCCCTTCTTCTTCGTCGTCGTCTTCTTCTTCTTCTTCTTCTTCTTCTTCTTCTTCTTCTTCTTCTTCTTCTTCTCCTTCTTCTCCTTCTTCTCCTTCTTCCTCCTCCTCCTTCTTCTTCTTCTTCTTCTCTTCTTCTTCTTCTTCTTCTTCTTCTTCTTCTTCTTCTTCTTCTTCTTCTTCTTCTTCTTCTTCTTCTCTCATCAAAGACTATATTGCAGTATGTTTTGCTTGTATAATCAAACCTTTCTGAGTGGCCATCTCTCTATAAAGACCACCTGTGTATAGTGGCCATGCATTTTCCCTCTCCTCCCTCGATCGAGAGAGAAACGTGTGATGTGAAATGTACCTGTTTAGAAAGGCCACCTGTCTCAGTGGCTTTTTTCTGTTTCCCTTCGGTGGCCTTAATAGATGCAGGTTTTACTGTAATTGTTTTTTAAGAGACGTGTATCAATCAGATATAAGTCTGTCCTATAATTTCACATATTATTTCGTCTGTCATCCCTCTTGACTCCCAATACAAACAAATAACACAATAATACACTTCAATTATTGTGGGATAGCCTGACGACTACTGAGAGGACACTTTTATTTATTTTTTTTGTCTCAAAATTTGAAAAATTGACATTTTGCTCCGTTGGGGGGGGGGGGGGGTAAGGTCACCTTTCTTAGGTCAGCCATGGGGGTGATTTTTTTTTTTTTTTAATAATTAAAAAAAAATATATAAAAAAAAAACCAAAGGGGGGGGGGGGGTTTAGGGATTTTTTTTAGGGGGGTTTACACACATAAAAATACCAAAGGGGGGGGGGTTAACCCCCAAACACCCCCCCCCCCCCCCCTGCGTACGCGCCTGCATGACACAATGCACTTTTATTGTAAATAACAGTTGTCTAGTTGAAAGTTCAAGCTAGAATGATTCAATAACACACTAATTTATGCCACGCCCTGGTCTCCGTGGCAGAATTAGCTCGGACACCTGTACAAGCTACCTATGCAAATTACATTCCATCGGGGCACGGCTCCGGACCCAACATAAGTATACAAACAACATTTGCCCGCTATACAATCGTACCGCAGACAAATAATATTACTTACCTCTATCATCCGATACTGAAAGACACAGGTTCTGGACCAGAGCAGGGCATGTGAGTTAAAGTCTCACCTCCCTGACCAGAGTTAGATTGAGTAGACGAAGACAGAGATCTGAGTTTAGCCTGTCCCTATATAACACCAGCGCCCAGCGGTATACAGCTAAACCAATTCACATCGAAATCAGCGTTGTTCATGCATGCAAATATCCCGGGTTCACAGGTTCACAGATACGCCATTATAATTATAGGGTCATTTTAGAAAAGGTGCGATACGCCAACAGGGTCCATTTCAGAGGTTGATGGGCACGGCTGGGTAGCACTTGTGTATGAGAGTGACCCCCCCCCCCCCCCCCGCCCAGGAAAATTTAAGCGGGTGTTTAATATCAACATTACATATATGATTTGATTATGATATGGTATGGTATGATATGATATGCCATGATATGATATGAAATGATATGATATTATACGATATGATGACATGATAATTATGATATGACAGCATGATTATGATATGAAATGTATTAAAATGATATGATGTGATACGATATACTACGATATGATATATATGATATGATATGATGTGATATGATATAGCCTGGAAAGTAAACTTTCATTACTAAATTCCTTTACACTTAATTGTCAATCATTTGCTTTAATATTTATAATAAATAAGTCCTCATATTCCTGTTGCAACAAATTATGTTCTAGCCTGGTAGAAATACCATATTATTCCGGTATACTGATCGTGTTCTAGCCTGGTAGAAATTCCATATTATTCCGCTATACGGATCAAGTATTATGAATATTATAACAATGCCATTGTGAATAACACATATGCTGAATCATGTATGTATGAAAACAGTCTTCTCATTCAAGTCTTTTACAATACCTGCAAAAAGAACGGATTGAGTATCATGAATATTATAACATAACATCGCATCGTGAATAACAAATATGCTGAATCGTTCATGTATGAAAATAGTCTTCTCACTCCAGTCTTTCACAACAACTTGCAAAAAGAATGAAATGAGTCTGAAATACACAGCGGAGCACAACGATGACTTGTGTAAGACTAACTTTCTATGATCGTTTGGCTGTCCTGTGAAACTTCTATTTATGCCACATGACTGTATAAAGCAACTGGCTGCGTTTTAAATGTTATATCAGGCTAAAGTAATTCGCAGAATTAAAATTATAAATGAAGTGATAACATATCTCTTTATTGCTCTCTCTCTCTCTCTCTCTCTCTCTCTCTCTGTGTGTCTCTCTCTCTCTCTCTCTCTCTGACTCTGTCTCTGTCTGTCTCTCTCTCTCTCTGTCTCTCTCTCGCTCTCTCTCTCTGTCTCTCTCTGTCTCTCTCTCTTTCTCTATCTCCATTTGAATCACACAGGTCGATTATACGACATAACGAACTCATTTGAGATAGTTTTTTCAGTTATTTGGAGGTATAGGTGTGCTGATCTTCATCCTGACTCTAATCTTCATCTACCGTCAAAGAACAAACTCGATCTACTAGAAGACTAGACCTTCCTTCGACTTGGCTATACGCCTTGATGGCCTTACAGCTCGGTTTTCGAGGCGTAGTTATTAGGGACTTTCAGATTTGCAAGTCGACATAGTGGAGTGCTACGTGTGAAATCCTTTTAAGACACTGGCAGTGCCTAAAAAGGATGTCACATTGCCTTAAAAATGATGTCTCACGTAGCAGTCCATTATGTCGACGTGCAAATCTAAAAGTCCCTATTCTTAGTTTCCTTTATTCTAGCGGTTTAGGTGTCGTTGGGTGCCATACAAAGTCTACTATCAGTCACTTCTGTAATATTGTCTTTTCTCGTTTGAACCTGTTATACATTTCATTGCAAAAAGAAAACAAATGAGTCGCCGTTGCTGCTAAATTGGCAATCGTTTTTTAATATTATTAAGGGGCAGTAGGAATGAGAAGGTTTGTTTTACATTAGGCTTTCTGCCTCACGCTCTCTGTATTACTGTTTCTTTCTGATGAGCGTTGTTTAGATCTGGTTATCTTTTGTAATCTTATGTAAGCTCTTATTTAATATTAGTAATCGACAACTAGTTATTTGATTTGTTTTGTTTTGTTTATGTATGTGAGACATGAGTACATTAAACGCCATTTTTCCTACTATAGGATTTCTCGGTCACTTTCGTAAGTTGGCCACACAAATTCATTTTATGTTCATTCAATTTCGCCGATTCTGTCACCGCAGCTGTTATTTTTCGTTCAAATTCGTTTTTAGCATTTAAATTCCTAAAACGATCATTCAAAAACATTTCATTTTCATTCGAATTAAAACGTGTTTCTTTTTCGTAAAATTTGCATTCAATTTAAAGCGAGACGATTCGCGATTACGTAATAGCGTCTTCCGTGAATTCAAATTCGTTTCTTTGCATACAGTTTCACACGTTTTGCAGACAAATTAAACATGTAAATCTTACCCAGTATGATCATATATAGAACCCCGCAAGCTTAGTTCCATGCTAAATCCATTTCAAATTGTATGGGTTGGTAAGCAACAAACATGTTATTTGTCCTCACTATGGGTGTATATTATACCCACTAAATCATCACTATTTAGCGACTGAATGCTTATGTGTTAAGTAGATAAAGCCTAGCCACATCAATATAGAATTAGCATGGAACTAAGCAAGAGTGTCTTTTTATGAATATGCAATGATATAAGTGCATGCAAAGTGTGTGTTTACAGACTACAGTTGTATTTATTGGAGAGGCGTACCATAATGGCGGGGGGGGGGGTATCAATACTCTATACATTGATTTATTTTTAATATATATTTTGTTTGGTTTTGTTTTTGATAATTTATTCGATGTTCGTAATCTCTTTGGAGCCATTTATATTTGTGTAAATTATATTTAGTCTGTATTGAACGTGTTAAGAACAATCTATGTGTATCAGTTCAATCACAATTACAATCACATCAATATCTAAATCACCATCACACTGAATCACAATCACGATCGTGATCACAGTCACAATTACCATCTCAGTCACAATCGTAATCACCATCTCAATTACAATCACGATCACGCTACACAATCATTAATGAGTTTGATACATTGTTTTCTCACTGCGCGCACATCTCAATAACTCATGCCATGTGGACATAAACTAAAGAATACACGTATACAATCTGAAATCTTGTTTTGGTTATAAATATATTTTGATCATAATTACATCATGCATGACATTATCATGTTCGTCTACGTTATATCACTTCCAAAAGATGACCGAGTACGATAAAGTCCGTGTTGAGAACATCAGTAAGATGATGTCCAATAACCCTCTACATGTTGACGGGCAAGACATCTAGGCATGTTATAACTCATTTGTTTAATTTAGATGAGAAACATGTGCATATACCATGTATACCATAGGTTTGTAAAGATAGGCGAATGTGATTGAAAACTTTGTTATTTAGAATGACCCAAAGTGAAATTGAATGGTACGGACGTCCGATTTGCCATTGTTGACGAAAATGAATGCAAACTGCGCATTTGTAAGCGGTTGTTAAATTGAATGAAACAAGTGCTAAATCCATTGACCAAATAAGTAAATCAAATGAAAAAAGTGTTATTTTGAATGAACTTTACACGCCGGCAGCTTTATTTCGCGAATTTGAATGAACTTTGTATCAAAACGAATGAAAAGCTTACGAAAGTGACCGAGAAATCCTATATTATGATGATCCACTATAAGTTATGATGATACTATGTGTATATGATGTTTTAATCAAAATGAAAAGGATCAATAAAACATCAAATACAAAAGATAAAAATATAATATTATTTTACTTACCCCCATGGCATTATTTTACTTACCCCCATGGCATTAGTTTACTTACTCCAATGTCATTATTCTACTTATTATTATGGGGGGGGGCAAAGAGAGATAAGCATTTCGTCACGAGAAGAAAAATCGTATTCTTATAAATCAAGTACCATTATGAAAATACACTAGCCATAAGCTTTGGAATTCCCTTTCTGTTGAACTTAAATTTAGCCCATCACTTAGAAAACATAGAAAATATATAATTAGCTTCAACTGTCATGACTATTGATCAACTTATTCTATTGTATAATGTTTGTTGCACTTATGGGCCCGAATTCACAAAGGAGGTCTGTCGACAAACCTCCTTTGTGAATTCGGGCCCATGGTGTTCGTTTATATTCTGTTTGATTTCAATTGTTTGGTTTGTTAAGTTATGTTCTGCGCTTGTAGTACTTTATCGTCCAATTTATAATTTGTTAGGGTTCTGCCTCGAAATGGTCTTTGCGGGTTTATTCTCATCCTTCATTTCTCCTTCAATACATTACTCAGTTAATGAATCCCCGATTACATCAATATCAATATTCAGCCGGCTTTTATTCGAGTTGTATCTTCTTGAACAATCTTGTTACATAATGCCATATAATAAATGTTTTGAACATCAAATAATTTCAGTTTTTAAATGCGAAAGATTTAGCTCATTGTTTATTTTTTAAATATAAAATAATTTCATATAATGTAAATATTTTTAACATTGAATAATTTCAATATCAGTGGTGAACGTTTACACCTATAATAATAATAATAATAATAATAATAGCTAGTTCTTATATGGCATTTTTCAGGACCGAATGCCCTCTCAAAGCGCGTTACAAATATCCTGACGGTATATGTGCGTCCCAGAAAAGACGAAACCGAGAATTATCGATGATTTATCATAACTTAATCACAATTATATTTAATAAATGACACATATTTGTAAAGCTTAGACCCTCTTAATTTATTTGATGCAACCCATATGATGCATATTTCACGTATGAGTGATTAAAAACAATTTGAAGAGAGGAAACCAAAAAGTCATTTGGCGGGCGGTATTTGAATTTTAAAGAGAAAATCACATTTCTATAAACACCTCTATCAGGAAAAATGAGCCAGCAATAACAAAGTTCTGTTTGTTTAAAGTTATGCTTGCGTTTCCATAATTTGATTAAACGAGTTCGTTTTCACTGGCTGCCTGCCGTAGCAACAAACAGAGTTGACGAAAGACTTTTAAACTCCGTTTCGTTGACGATCAGCCATGCAAAAAGAAGACTAAAGACTTGATGCATGGCTGAACTTCAACGAAACAAGCGGTCCACACCCACTCACCCCTTTTCTTTTATATAAACTTGTCTATGTAGTTCATAAT